TCCTCCCATCCCCCATCAAGTGTGTCCGGTATTTTTTCCTGAAGCTACCTGGTAACCCTACCAATGACTACCTAGCTATGTTATTCCAGTGGTTAAGTGTCCTCAATGTTAAATAATTGCACCTCATTTCTAGTCTGAATTTGTCTTGCTTCAGCTTCCAACACTTGGCTCTCATTCTGCCTTTTTCTTCTCTATTATAGAGCCATCTACTCTCTTCCAAATAGGGAACCTTTTTACATTAAGTACACTGAGCCTCTCAAACCTCTCTCAATAAATATCGTTTTCTAGACCTCAAATAATTTGTGTAGTTTTTTTCTGAGCCTTACCATGCCTTGTATTTTTAGACAGAGCTCACTGGTTCAGTGTTTGTATAGTACTTAGCCCAGTGGAGTCCTGTTCCCTGACAGGGGCTTCTGGGTGCTCTGATGATAATAATAGAAATTATCTACTATATATATATATATATATATATATATATATTTATATTTGAGAGCTTGTGAGCGAGCCTATCTATACATCCATTTGTTCAAGAACGTCTCCTAAATGGTAAGAACTAGGACCACCAATTTTGATACGCAGCTTCCTCTTACCATAACTTAAAGCAAGTTAAGAGGTTGGTTGCGCCAGGACAGTGGAATGTGCCTGTAATGCGACTGCTTTTCATAACATACAAAGGGAGGGCTCTGCTAGGAGGGGACAGTTATATTATATAATGACCAGAGAGTGGGACCAGGACAGCTATAACCCCACTGGAGTATCAAGAGCAGTATACCATGAAAAATACACAAGTAAAAAAAATAACTGGGAGACTTATGAACCATCACATAACCAGGACAATGGCATATCTACTGAAATAGAAGAGCAAATTCTCTGAAAAGCTTTTTGAAAACCATAGCTTTTAATCAATCATCTCAAAAGAAGCCATCTCAGCTATTATACCTGTGCTTTCTTATGAGGTATTTGCAGTGTCTCAGCAGGTATTCCTTTGAAGGCCGACAGAGCTTCAATGACCAGAAGTCATCCAGTCTCATCTTTGGAGAGCAGGATTTGCCAGGATTTCCTCCAAACAAATAGTGAACCTACACAGGTCAGAAACAATTTTTAAGTTGGTATCTGCACGTGTTAAAACACTTACCGTATTATATACTTGGCAAGTCACCTCTCTGAAGAGGTTATTTTACTATATAAACAGGGGGGAGAAGAGAGGGTCCTCACTGCTACCACTGAATAATGATTCTAACAGATGTGAGCAGCTCTCTAACTGGGTTTGTGAGAGCCAAGTCCTCTCTCCTTCAAGCTAGACCCCAATTCACCTCAAGACAAGAACCAGCATTGTAGGATGTAGGGAGACCTAAAACACTCAAAGGAGAGTGACTGTGGGATGACTCCAGTCCTGCAGATTTATTTTAAAAGCAGTGGTGTCAGAAGCTGTCCACACAAACAGGGATAAGAAAATAAGAATGGCCATAGTGGGTCAGACAAAAGGTCTATCATAAGCCCAACATCCTGTCTGCTGACAGTGATCACTTCCAGATGCCCCAGGAGGGAACACAACAGGTAATCCTCACATGATTTCTCTCATCATCCTATCCAGACTATGAATAGGTCCATAGGTTTCAATATGGCCATTGTATATGGAGATATTCTCAAGTAGCCTCTGGAAAGACAGATTTTTATTCATTCTCTCCTAATAAAACAGGATGGTTATGAGATGGAGTTCGCCATATAGACTAAGGCTTGTTCACTTCAGCTCCTACCTTAACTGTAGAGAAAGCAAAGAGCTAATGGGATAAAGTGAAAAACTGAAAAGCATGAATCCTGAAATGAAGTAGCCCCACCCATGATTTCATAAGTGATTGCTATTATTGCATTTCAACAGAAAAAGCACCGATTAATATTGTAATCCACTGTAAAAGAGAAAAATTGCACACCGTTCTAAGGAGCTGCTATAAAGAAAAGAAGGAAAAAAATCAAGACTTTGAAAATCAATACATTTGAGAAAGATCTTGTTTCCTTATGCCCTTTATTTTTTGTCATTCAGGGGGTATACAAAAATGTGTATGTATAAATACAAGTGCAGTATACAGTTCACATTCTGCTTTTTCACATCCTGCAGTACCGCAAAACCAGTGTTACTTTGTGTTTCTGACACCAGAAAGCTACACAGGTAAGTCTTCCCACATACCCAAATGACTAAGCAGCTGCGGCACTAATGACCAATTAAATGATACTGATCAATGCATTACTACACCTCTGCTCAAAGCTTATATTTTTTCCAACGTCAAGAGCAAGTTTTGAAAATTAAGGTCATGCTGCTGAAAGCACTTCTGGATAACTAAGATTGGTTTCCCTAATTATGAGGTTGAGGCCATGGCCTCTTTACAAGGACATGGAAAGACCAAGGAAAGTAAAAAAGTAAGTAGTTCACTGAACTGATTTCCCCCCCAATCTTTTATTTGATTTAAAAAGTTTACTTAGTCACCTGAAAACTTATCTATTGAATATTAAATCTCCCCCAGAAGGTTTTTCAATTGCAGAGACTCAAAAATCTACTTCACCATATAATATTTACCCCTAAAATTCATTATTTTAGATCCACAGAAGGGAGTCCTTATTTATATCAAGAGAGTCCAGAAAGGTCATTTGAACAGAGACTTCTAAAAAGATACAACTTCAGGAGTAGCCACACAGAATGGCATCTCAGATGGAGTGAATTCAAGATACGAGTAGTGATCCAACACTTAGAATTCTGCTCTCGGGTTTGTTTGTCTGTGACAAGATACAATTATACTGCAATCTAGAGGTTTGATTGCAGCATTGTTAGATGTACACTAGCTAGCATGGCTAAAAATAGCAATGAATATCTAAGCAGAGCAAGCTTTAATGTGGACTAGCAATGGAAGTACATACTCAAGGGTTCCCCAGCATGGAAAGCCTGCACTGAAGCCTGCAATTATGCTCTTATCCATGCTGTAGCAGACTTCTGGATTGCAATGACAGCAGTTAATTTTACTTCACAGTTTGTTATTTTGAATGGCAAGTTCCCCTTGTGCAAGAAAAGTTTATTCTTCCTAAATTAATACAAGACTTTAAAGTTTGAGAGAATTTGAATGGTGAGCTAACCTCATTGAAGAACTTTATAGGCTCCATCTGTCCCATACGCTGCTTTTCGGCTGCCTCTAATGTAGTACCATCATGCTTATTAATTTGTATGTGGAACTGATACATCACCACCTGAAAGTTTTCCCAACATCCATAGGATCCAACTCTATTAGATTAAGCTAATGCATGACACCATCTCATAGAATCATAGAATACTAGGACTGGAAGGGACCTCGAGAGGTCATCAAGTCCAGTCCCCGACCCAATATCATAGCATCACTAACCTCTGCCTTCTCACAGGCAAATACAACCAGATTATTTTTAGAGCTACAGTTATGCCAGCTAAATACAACTGAAACTTAGCACTTCAAAGATAGACATCCATACCTTGTGCAACTCATCGTACACCAGCTGATGGGCAAACCTTGGGCAGGGCTCTTCCTCCTGAAGGCTTTTACTTGGATTATCTTTTGCTGCTTGATCATTCTTATAGACACAAGACCTGTAACACAGTAATTGTCAAACAACCTCCCACTAACAAATCAGTATTAGCTACAGGTAAAACAAGCCGTTAGCGGAAAAGAAGGTTGCAGGAACGTGGATGGCTGATTAAAACTCATCCTGTGTGCAAGGTACAAAAGGGGTAACATGTAATACAGCATCAGAATAGAATATAGTACTGCAGCTATATTTTGCCTAACGCATGATAGCTGTTATTACCCAGCAGGTAAATGGCTAATTTACCTATAACATTTTAAATTACAATCCCACAAGTACACAATGGAATAGCCTGGAATAACCTTCCTAATTTGTAAAAATTAGGAACAAGTGTACTTCACTTTCAGAGAAGCCTTTAATTTACTTACCAACTGTTCCTCACAATGTCATAAATCCAGAAAGAGTTCCTAACATTCTCTTCCCGTTTCTCTTTGTCTTTACTGAGCCCAGACAACACATGGATTTCATTCAGTTCTGGATCAATGGTGGCTCTCTGAGTGAAACCAGTCATAGGAACTGTTCAGTAAGAGAGAAAGTAAATGTTACATGCGGCACAGAATAAAAGAGGATGATACCAGGAAAGAGAATTGAAAAAAATTGATACCATATGAATGCAAGCACAGTCTACTTGTAAGGCATGGGGACCTCTAATTAGCTAGTTTAGTATTCCTTATTTAGCAGGGATTGTTAATTCTCATGTGTTCTCTACATTGCTGACTCAAAGGCAACTGCTTTATTTTGCTGAAATTTAATAGGGCTCTTTTTTAAAATCAAGACATGGCTAAGTATTTTTCTGCTCACAGAGTTGAACCAGTTGAAGCTCAAAGTGTGATTTCAAACTGTTAAATCAGTGCAAAAGATTTACTGGATTAAACTAGGCTTATATTGATTTAGTTTAAATCTATTGGCAACCGTTTTAAGCTAAGCCAAACTAAACTGAGTGAACCGGGCGGGCCAGGGGGTTGCAAATTTGTCTGAGCTATGGCTGCTATAGTTCAGCAAGCAAGAAGCTACATGGATACTTTCCTTCTTTAAAGTCATGGTGTCCAACACATGAGCCACTACACACATGTGGCTACTTGGCCAGTTAAATGTGGCTAGCTGGCTTGAATAATGTGGCTATTTTGCTATAGCATTTTCAGAACAATATGGTTAGTTCACTATACCAGTAGCCACTTCAGTGGCTACTACTTCAGAACTGGTTGGACACCATGGCTTTAAAGGGTTTGCAGGGATTAGTTATTCTTTTTCCGGGAATTTTCTTGCTATTTTAAGAAAAATAGGAGAGAGGTTTCACAGAAGATATGTGCAGACTCCTCCCCACCCCCATACTATATACACCTGCAGATCATTTGAGACAATCAAAATACATATCAAAGTAAAATCAATGTTTGTAGCTGCATAATAAAGAGATTAAATTAATTTAAAGAGGTTGTGATGGATAGGAGGAGTGATGACCAGCATCCAGTGACTAAAGTGTTAAACTCTGGTAGCTAGGGGGTGTTGGCAGGGAGCCAAAAGAGCCAATGGGAGAAGAGGTTGAGATTTGAACTGGAAGATATACCTGTCTGCTGTTTTCTTTGTGGGAGTTTTAAGCCAGGAGTTGAGGGAACAAGATGAACTGAACCAGGTAGAACTACCATGCCTACAAAGAATACTGGCCATGGAAATGGACTGGACCTTGAAGCATAGATTATAAGTATACAGGCAGTCCCCAGGTTACATGGATCCGACTTACATTGGATCCCTACTTACAAACGGGGTGAGGCAACCCCGCACTAGCTGCTTCCCCCCAGCAGACCAGAGAAACACGGAGCGGCTTTTCTCAGCAGACACCTCAGCTTGAGAATAAAGGACTGAGGGAAGTGAGGTGTGGGAGAAAAAAACTGAGCTCTGGAGAAATGTTTGGCTAGAGTTTCCCCTACAATATGTACCAGTTCCGACTTACATACAAATTCAACTTAAGAACAAACCTACAGTCCCTATCTTGTACGTAACCCAGGGACTGCCTGTATACGGAAATGCCTATTTCGTCATGATCAGGTTTATTTTGTTGTTTGGTTAAATTTCTCAGTGCTAAATCCATGCTGTTCCCCACCACCCACTGTATTTTAAGCTGCAGCCCAGGGATGGAAATTTCTCAGTTTTTAAATCGTTATTTTCTCAGTTGCTTTAAACACCTAGCAACCAAGTATATATTTTTGTTGTATTAATAAGATCACCTTTAAGGTGATGATTTGATTCTTGTATCCTGGAAGGCAATAAGAGGTCTGTGTATGCATGCCTAAGACTGAGAGGTCAGCTAACAGAGACTGCAGAGGGGTCTTTTCATCATCTTTACTTATCTGTGCAACACTATTATCTTGTGGTAAAAGCCTGGGGGTATCCCACTGGAAGACGCCCCAATACTTTCTTCCTGGGTTCAAGAAAAAGGTTTTTTTTTTTTCCAGTTTGTGGTAGCAGCTACCTCCCAAGGCCAGGTAACCTGTGACCTTGGGGAGCTTTTTAAGCAGCCGCCTATAGAGGCGGCAGGGGGAGGGGGGAGAGAAGGAGAATCGACTAGTCCTTAACATCCCTAGTGTGAAGCACAGCCCCATTCAGGTAGGAGCGCAATACCGGCAGGGCTGGGGGTACCAGGGTCAATGGCCAGGAGGGTAGCCTTGACCTCCCCTGGTTCGGCAAACTCTGTGGTTTGGGACTGAGGGTGCCAAACCAGGGAGCTCCGACCTGTAGTCAGAAAAGGTGCTGTGAATGGTGTCTCATGACTTGCAGCCTAATGCACTTGTGATGGGGTGCAGTCACCCCTTCGTGGTGCTTCCCAAGCCACTGACACTCGTATTTGTTCTCTGGGGCTTCTCACTACCCTGTCCTGCTGGGCCAGCTCAGCTAGTCTTCCCCAGCCAAGGCTCAGAGCTGAGATTCCTGCATCCCGGGGGAGCAGTACAGACACAAACTCAGGTCAAAGGAAAATGCAATTTAGGGCCCAGCTTCCTGGGATACCAGTTACCAAATGGGATCAGAACCCCAAATGAATTATTTAGATAAGCCCCCTTTGACAATGAAAGGAGGATGTGAACACTGATTTCTCCACCAGGTAATTATTTACACTGGTCTTAACAGTAAATAAAAGTGATTTTATTCAGTACAATCAGTAGGAGTTAAGAAGTTACAAGTGGAAACAGGCAGAGCAAAGTAGATTACAAATTTAAAAATAACAAAAAACGCCTATCTAATTCTAACGTAACACTCAAGCTTATTACAAGCTCACCCTAAAATTGTTCTTATTCCATCTAAGCCTCCAAACCAGGCAAGTTCCCTTTCCCTGGGGTCTCTGGTTCATTTTCTTGGGTGTGCCATGCCAGCCCAAGATAAACAAACTGCTGGCTTCCCATTGTTTTAGAGATTCCACCTTTGGGCGGGAATTCTGTTTCTACATTCCACTCTTACATGGAAAAATTACAGCTAGTTAGATCCTACCAGTTGAAGGGGGGAAGGAGGGGTCGACACATGACTTCCTAGGACCAACCACTGCTAAGACTTAGAGGACAAATGAGTTACAGATGACCAGACTTTGAGGGATACACCCTTGATGGCTTGCATTTGCACTTTTAAAACCATAAAGCATTCCATACTCCATGTATCTAATTTTATACACAAGAACGTCACGTACGCCAAATTAAGATGTAGAGATCCAGTGGATTATGACATTAAGATTGATTAGCTACATGAGGCCATTTGTCCCAAGCATCTTTGAGTTATGCATATGTGTGTCCATAAGTCTATTTCATAAAGCATGGGGGGAGTCAGTCTCAGGACTTTCCCTTAAACTATGGGGGGGAAGCAGGAGAGGGGAGGCAAATCTGGATGCTTTGGAATGAAGACAAATATCTTTTCATATACTTATTTTTAGTATTAATTTCTCTGCATAGTCTAGAGTAGACCTTTACTGTAACTTGATGAAGAAATCTGTACCTTGTCAAAAAAAATAAAATGAATGGCTACCCGTGAATTGCGGGGTAATGAAAAAATGTGGTGTAAACATTAGTTATTCCTCTCTGTTCTACCTTCAGATTTAGAAATATTGAAATATTGAGATTCCTGGGGTTTCATTGTATCTAGTTCCCTGAAACAGCGTCATCGAATTAGGAGTTTGGCAGTCCTAACTCTTTGTTGTGTAATTCTTATTTCCTGTTTCCCCCGGCAACCATCCTTTCAAATGCACTCATGATCGACACGTGATCTTTGTTTATCGATTCTGTTTGTCTCATTTCTCTATCTGGGTCAGTTTACAAAGGCTGGTGAAGGTTCCTGGCTCTTGGTCAAATTGCTTGGCGAAAGAACTCAAGACACTTGCATGCTGCAAATTCTTCCTCTAATTAACTATGAAACGCCATACACATATACAGTACACAATCTTGTTCTGCCTTGGAAGGAAAGCCCTAGGCTAACTACATTTTTACTATTCAATAATATACAGAGTAGCATTTTACAAGCCTATTTGCAACACATTATGGTATTATGCTTCACTGTTTTCATATGCTGGGTCAGGTAAGCAACCTACATTAATTTAAAATAAATCTGGACAGTCCTGATTTCGCTACACAAAGACAATCCTTTCATAAAGTCTTATATTCAAATCTATAATCAGATAAAACAGACATATGTAATACATCTCATTCCTACTCCAGAGACAACCCACCAGTGAAACTGCACATTTGCGCAGCTCTTAAAGTTCTTTCCACTCTGCAAAATGGAAAAATCTGGAGCCTGGAAAAAGACAAGTCCTTGGAGATCTTTAACTAGCTTAATCTTTCTCTGCTTCCACCTGTAGATTGTGTCTCGTTCCTGTCAAATTTACAAGTAAAAGGTTGCCTTTAACTGGCAGCAATACAGATTTGAGCTGTTTCTGGTTTGTGCATCATCTTTACTTATCTGTGCAACACTATTATCTTCTGCCTTGCAAATTAGGAAAATTTGCCTCAAATGCCCAGTAACTCACTCTCCCATACCTATGTTGGCTCTGTAGACCTACTAAGAGTAAAGAACAGTTAAAAATAGTGCACATATAAACAACGGATGCTGAGGTCACAGCTGCATTTAGTAGAATTTGGGGGGAAATGACATGCATTAGGCTATTATTCATACCGGAAGTATATGGACTTGTTTGTAGACAGAGTAAGTCAGTAAAATGTGACCTATGGGAGTCTGACATGAACTTTCTGTGCTGTTAAGGGAAAAGCCGCCTACACAAAGCCTAACACGGGTGGGCAATAATTTTTGATGGGGGAGCCACTCCAAGATTTTGGAAAGTGGTCGAAGGCCACACTCTTCCATGATATTAATGGAGATGTAGGGTCTGGGATGGAGGTTGGGTTCAGAAGAGAGCTTGGGGGTAAGGGACTGCAGTGCAGAAGGGAGACTGGAGTCTGGGCGGGAGTTGGGATAAAGCAGGCAGTTGTGACCTAGGATAGGGTACTGGAGTGCAGGGGTTTGGGATGTGCCCTAGGGTAGGAGGG